TCGCCTTGGTCGACTTTTATATGGCCTCTTCGGATTAGAAAGAGCCTTACCAGTCGAAAATTTTTCGTATAAACGCTTAATGGTGTTCTTAGAAGGCGCACTTCTCACATTTTTGTATAGGTCCACGTTTTGGCATAGCACCCATATAACGGTACCTCACGATATTCGGTATTTTGATTATTTGATATGCGACATCTTTTCGGCTCGGGTTTTAGCTCCAGTGGCGGAATATTGTATGTATAGGTCCACGTTTCCGTGTTGCTGCTATACAAAGGTACCTCCCGATATTCGATATTTTTATGATTTTCGTCACACTTTTCTACGGATTTGTCTAAAAATTGGTATATGTAGGTTTCAATGGGTTCTATTTCCGGCGGCGGAACTAGTTCCGGTGTGGGGGCTGTACCAGAAGGTGCCAACCAATATACTCCATCTTCAAAATTGATCTTGTACTAGAAGAAGTATTGAAATGTGTAAAGCTTAGAAAGAATCAAATGATTATTTCGCATTTTTTGGACGTTTTGGTTATTCAAAATTTTGACCTCTTTGTGGTGGAGGTACCAGAAGGAATGGGCCTATATAATTTCATTATTTTTCATATTTAGTTCTCATTTCACATTTTCACAGTTTCACAGAGAGGTACTACAAGGTGTAGGTCTATATTAACTATTTTTGCTCCTAACCTAGTACGAACGCAAATATTATGATTTTCTTGTTCTATGAGATAGATTATATTCTGCAAAAAATTTAATATTTTATAGGGGTGGTAGAAGAAAGAGTGGACCAATGATGTCCATCTCCAAACTGGATCTAAATTTGACAATAATATTACGATGTACCAGCCAGAGACGGACGGACACCCCTAGATCGACTCCAAATATCCTGTAACTAGGTTAAAAACCCCTTATTTCGGTGAGGTACGTTTTGGCCGTATCAAATGATATATACCCTCTGTAGCCATATGGCTGAGGATATAAAAACAAGTTATAACGTATAAATAGGTCATGCCGACATATACTCCTCGAAATCGTCTTTATACCCTACAACACTATGTGTTGGGGGTATTATAAGTTTGATTGGGCCAGAATTTATGTAACACCTCGAAATATTGGATTCCCATATAGGAAAGTATATATGGATCTTCCTAGCTCGCCGAGCTGAGTCGATCTAGCTATGTATGTCCGTCCGTCCGTCTGTCCGTCTGTCCGTCTGTCCATGTTAATTTGTAATCACTCTACAGGTCGCAATTATGGCCCGATCTTCACGAAATTTGGAATGTAGGTGGGGTTAAGGTCAAAATAGAACCCTATTTCTTTTGGAGATGATCGCATAATATTTAGGGGTGGAAATGGACCAAAAACTGAAAAAAATCCTGATTTTGCAGTTGCTCTACAGGTCGCAATTATAGACCAATCGACGCGGAATTTCGCATGTAGCTGGAGTTTAGGTCGGGGAAGAAGCCTACCAATTCGGGTGGTCATCGGATAATGTTTAGCGGGTAAAATAGACCATATCTTTTGTGTTGAAAAAATTCAAAATTTTTCATTAAACCGCGAATATTTTAAATCCCGGCGAAATCACAAAGTCATGACAAGGTTACTTCTGATCTTTACATTGATGTTAACATCCAACAAATCGGATATATAGCAAAATATGTGCGATATATATGTCTATCAAAGAAGATATGCTTGAAAGATCTCTTATATGTCGAGAACGGCTGCACTGATTTCGACAGTTCTCATTAATTCAGAATGGCCTCTTGGCAGGAAAGAAAAAACGTCTAAAAAATTGCATAAAAATATCTCTCTGAAGATGAAAATATTGATTTTGTAATATTTTCTCATATTTTTTCAATTTTGTCATATTTTTGGCATATTTTCATTTTGAATTAAACATTTGGTAATATTTCTACAGCTAACAAAACTAAGTAGTTAGGATATCAGGATATCATATACAGATCGCATTTATGGCCCGATCCTTATGAAATTTTGCATGGGGATAAGATGAGGGTCAGAATAGAAGCCTACTCTCTTTGGAGATAATCGCCATATATTTAGGGGTTGAAATGGACAAAAAAACTGCAAAATTGTCAGCAAGTCGATCCTCACGCGAATTTGAATGGAGGTTACCGGACATTGCAAAAGCCAAATAGTTTTGGATGGCCATCCAAAAATATTCAATGTGTGAAATAGTTTGCCAACTTTTGTAGACAAAATACGAAAATATCCATTCCAGTGACTTTTTGGAGAATTCACAAATACAGGAAAGACGCACTTCTGACTATTTCGTTAACGCTGATTTCGTTGAAGAACATAGTCAAATGTCTGTATCTCATATAGATGCGTTTCAGTCAAAAACCAATAATAAATGTTAATCTTTTGCCACTTCTGTGAGATTATGGGTCTTTGGGAAATATTGGTTCCAGATCTAGGAAGACCATTTACGTGCAACTTCTACCTATAAATTGGAAATGAGCAAATTAGTTCAAGTTTCTATTATTCGAAAATTAGAGAACGAAACCTGATGGTTTTCTTTTATTATTTGTCACAATATCTTGTGAAATTCTTTCGAGTATCTCGCCTATATAAACTGTATCGTTTATTATAGTGTTGTAGGGTATTCAACGGTCGGCCCCGCTCGACTGTAGCCTTTGCTTACTTGTTTTTATCTGCATATATAAAAGAGTACTGAAATAATTGACTGATCTAGAATGAACGACGAATTTGCGGAAGATAGAATCTTGAAATATTGTATTAGGCTGGTTTTCTTCATATTTTTTTCCCATTATTTCTATTAACACAAGATCTGCTGTGAAGATGGAATATATCGTTCTACTCCTTCTGGTACCTCCCCCACAAAGGGTCAAAATTTTGAACACTCAAGAAGCTCATAAAACGAGAAATTAATATTCAGACTTGATAAATCTCAATATTTCTTTTAACACAAGATATGTTATAAAGATGGTAGAAATCGGACCATTCCTTTTGGCACCTCCCCCACAAGGGCTCAAAGTTTTGAATATCCATGAAGCTCATAAAACGAGAAATTAATAACCAATTTCATTCGGATTCGGCGCATCTCAATATTTCAATCAACACAAGATCTGTTATAAAAATGGTGGAGATCGGACCATTTCTTCTGGTAGCTGCACCACATAGGGTTAAAGTTTTGAAAAACCAAAACGAGTATAATATCCGAAATAACCATCGGGTTCTCTTAATATTTCACACATCCCATTGTTTCTAATAACCCAAGGTTTGGTGTGAAGATCGAATATATCGGTCCACTCCTACTGGTACCTCTCTCACATGGGGTGAAAATTTTAAATATCCACGAAGCTAATAAGGCGCGAAATTAACATTCGATTCCATTCAGACATGGCACAGCTCCATCAACACAAGATCTGTTACAAAGATGGTAGATATCGGTCCATTTATTCTGGTAAATCCCCACAAAAGGTCAAATATTTTCTTAAAATTATCACATATCTCTTATAAAGTGAATATATTATTTATATCATATTTATGTAGGTCCGATACGAAATGTACAATACTGGCCCATTCCCTCGGAACAGAAGTCAAAATATATTAAAATAATCGGGGCATCGGCATCTGTCGGCAAAACCGCCTGATATTTATACCCTACACTACAAGGTGGTCAGGGTATTATGTCTTTGTGCATTTGTTTGTAACAGGCAAAAGGAAACGAGATAGACCCATAGTTCCTTTTGATGACCTGCATAGAATCACATTCTGAGTTGATTTATGCATGTCAGTCCTTCTGCCCGTCCGTCCGTCCATCTGTCCATGTATTCTTGTGAACAAAATGCAGGCCGCATTTATTATCCGATTGAGATGAAATTTTGCAAACAACATTTGTTTGGCCCAAGGACGAACCCTATTGAAATTGGAGATAATCGGTAAAAATTTAGATATAGCTCCCATATATATCTTCGTCCGATTTGCCTTTAATTGTGCACCAAATAGTATGGAATTTTGCACATACAACCAAATTAGGCCTGAAAATAAGTATGCCAAATTTTATCGAAATCGGTTCAGATATAGCTATAGCTCCCATATATATTGTTCATCCGATTTGTTATTTTTGTCCTCCGCAGCCGTAATATGCACTCTGTAACAACAATATTTGGGGAAATATATCAAATGCAGCTCAGAAATACCTTTGCTAAATTTTATCGAGATCGGTTCAGATTTGTATATAGCTCCCATATATAACTTCGTCCGATTTACCATTTATTGTGCACCAAACGTCTAATATGTGTCCAAATGGGATGGAATTTGGCACATACGACCGAATTTAGTCTAGAAGGTAGTATGCCAAATTTGGTGAAGATCGGTTCAGATATAGTTATAGCTCCCATATTGTTCATCCGATTTATTGTATTTGTTACCCACAGCCGTAATATGCACTCCGTAACAACGATATTCAGGGAAATATATCAAATACAGCTCAGAAATATCTTTGCCAAATTTTATCGAGATCGGTTCAGATTTGGATATAGTTCCCATATATATTTTTATCCGATTTCAAATTAATTTCGCACCAAATAGGCAATACAAGTCCGAATTTAAAAGATACAAATGCTTCGGCATATTTATTCCTTTGAATTTTAAATTATAATTATAATCATAGCGTGTATGATTGAATTCGACATTAGGACTTTCTTTACTGGTTTTTAATTTGTTCGTGTTATATTGGGATAAATCGACTTTTGGAATTGGAAAATCTAAAAATCCAAGTCGACTATTGCCAGTCTGTAAAGATCGCAAAGTCGGCTTTTGGTATTTGATTTTGGGAACCGAAACCCGATGTTTGGCTGATTGGTCAAAATCGAAAGATCGAGATGTTGTCTTTTTATTTCAGACAAAAGTCTAAAGGTCGATTTTTGTTTTTGACTACGTAGGGGTACGTTATGACACACCTTGAAAAAAATAAGCGATTTGATGATAAAAAAAAAAAAACAATTGTAGAATACGTACCTTTTTTTTGCTAATACCACACGTTGACTGCTTAACACAGATTCACCAAACATATGATGTGTTGGACGCCGGCGATGATGTTGCTGATGATGATACCGCGAAGATAACAAACATTATGCAAAGGCAGACAGGCAGCCAAATACGACGACTGACGATAAGTAGGCAGCCAGTCAAACAGACAACAAACGAAGTTAGGCAGTAAATGAAAATACACGAAACGAAACAACGAAAAAGAGAAGTACAAACAAATAAAAAATCCAATTAAATGTTATCGTGTAGGTCGCCGGTTGCCGGTAGGTTGTTGGTTGCTCGTTTTGACGCACTGCCACACACACCGAAGTTTGTTGACGGAAACCGAAAAAAGTAACGAAAATTTGAAAAATTTACTGTTTAACAACAGCGTTGTTGTTGCTGTTGTTGTATATGCCTCCGTACTTAAATTCAACTGAGCCCAGAAGTTGAAAACAGCGTCTGCGCAAAGCTGGTTTTTGGGTGTAGAGTTTAAGTAGTAGCACCACCACCAGAAAAAAAACCCAGCTGACAGCTGTTGTTACAACAGAACGACCAAAACTTCTGATGAATGAAATTTGAATGAGAAACAGAGGAGGATGGAAACCAACCACTTGAACTTTTGCAGAACTTCTTCCTCGTCGTTTTTTCGAGTTGTTTGGGCAAACGAAAAAAAAAGGATGTTGTTGATGATGTTATGGCGAGAAGTGGTTGTAATCTGTTGTTGTTGTTGTTACTGTTGATTTTGCAACATTTTTTCTTGTTGTCGATTTCCCGAAAAAATAACGCCTCAGCTTCTATTTCGTTTGGGAATTTTTTTTCTTCTTCTTCTTCTTATATTTCGTTTAACTTGATTTCTTTAATGCTTAAACTAAACACACGAGATAATGTTGACGTATTTTGGTTGCAGATGCTTTTCTTTATTTATTTGATTTACTTGTTGTTGTTGTTGCAGGGTATTTCTTTTATTTTGAAGATTTCTCACGATTCTTTGCTTCATCTGATATTTGTTGTTGTTGTTGTAGGTATTATGTGTATTTGCAATTCACCTAAAAAATGAAAGATAATAGAACATTATAAAAATGGTCGTTAACAAAAAAATGGGGTTTATTTGCGGAGCAATGATTTACGAGGGTCGTGCGACAATTTTTTTTTTGAACATGAGCTGTTTTTATTTTTTTTTATAATTTTATTTTATAATTTGAATTTTTTAATGCTAAAACTAAGATAACACAGTGCAACACAAAAACCAGTAAGGAAAAGACAAAAGTCAGGCGGAACCGACCATATGATACCATACGCCACTATGCGTATTTAGTAGAGCTCCCGTAAGAAACAAACGTTTATTGGGAATTTTTGTGAAGTAGATCATAACAACTATGAACCTTATTTCAATGCGTATCATGGCTTTAGAGTAGTCACAATTTCGGAACCATATCCAACTCTGAATCGATTTTCAATAAAATTGACAGAGGCCTTTGTACCACTAGTACCGAATAACATTGTTGTACATTGCAACTCATATAAGAATTAAACAAGTAAAAAAGCCGTAAGTTCGGCTGGGACGAACTTTGAATACCCTCCACCATTTGGAAAGAATTTTGAACGAATTCTCAAAAACAATAAAATCCGTTAAAAATTCTGTTAAAATCTTATAAGTGCCGAATGTAGCTGTTACATTAGGGTCTATACGACGGCATGGACTTGCATAGGTAACAATATTCAAATGAGAAACTTGAAAAAAAATCCGGTGAATAATGTGGCTAAAATAATCGAAATACCGAATATCGGGGGGCACCTTTATATGGGGGCTATACGAAGACATGGACTTACACAGACAATTTTCTGTCATAGGCTGTAGTATTCATTTCAAATTTCAAATACCAAATTAGAAACAATTCCGATGAATATCGTCGCTAAAATCAACAAAGTACCAAATATGGGGAGGTACAGTTATATTGAGGCTATACGAAGACGTGAACCTGCACAGACAATTTTCTGTCATAGGCTGTAGTATCCATTTCAAACTTCAAATACCAAATTTGAAACAATTCCGATGAATATTGTTGCAAAAATCGTCAAAATACTGAATATCGGAAGGTACCGTTATATGGGGGCCATACCAAAACGTGGACCATGGACATGGCCCATTTTCAATACCAAAAGTCCAGCAGACATAATATACATTTGAGTAACAATTTATCAATCTACTTCAATTCTTTCGGAAGCTAGAGTGATTTCCACAGACGGGCAGACGGAGGACATCCCTAAATCGACATAGAATTTTATGCTGATCAAGAATATATATGTATACTTTGTGGGGTCTAAAATGTATATTTCGAGGTGTTAAAAACGGAATGACAAACTTAATACACCATCCATACTATGGTTGGGGGTATAAAAATATTTACTGGGGCAATAGATATCCCGGACCGAGTTTCACCAAATTGGAAAATTCGATTGAATATGAAAACAATCTATTCAATTTGGGCTGATATTACGTATATTGTGGACAAAAGATGTATATCGAAGGTACATAAAAATCTCAACCGATCTCGATTAAATTTGGCAGAGGTATTTTCGAGCAGTATCTGATGTCCGGTATCAAATATTATTGTTGTGGAGTGCATATTACGCATGTGAGGGACTTAAAAAACACCAAATCGGATGAAATATATTTATGGGACCTATAGCTATATTTCAACCGATTTTCAACCAGTTTTAATATACTTGCTTCTAGGCTGAATTTCGTGCGAAGTGAAAAATTCAGTTAATTTGGGCTGATATTAGCCATTTGGTGCACAAAATATACCAGAAATCGGATAAAGATATATATGGGAGCAATATCCAAATCTGAACCGATCTTGACAAAATTTGAAATACTTATTTCTAAGCTGTATCTGATATTTGGTACCAAAAACCCAAATCGAATGAAACATATATGTATATGGAAGCTATAGCTATATCTGAACCTATTTTCACAAATTTGATGTACTTGCTTCGGTCGGATTTACTAAAATTCAGGTTATTTGGACTGATATTGGCCATTTGGTGCACAATTAACCGGAAATCGGTTGAAGATATATATGGCAGCTATATCTGAAATATGGACCGATTCTCATCAATTTCAATAGGGTTCGCCCTTGGGTCAAACCTTGGAATCCGTAAAATTTATATTTATAATTTTAATTGAAAATATTAACCCTCAAGGAGCCAAAGAGCTCCCTTTTAGTCGATTTTTTTTTTTTTTTTTTTTTTGAGAAAAAAAATAAAAATTCCTTTTAAACGGGAAACAAAATATTCACAATATTTGTTAGCCTTAAATTCAATTGAAGGTCCCAGAAGACATCAAACCTTACCAAAACCCAGGAATTCAAAAATATTAAAAACATATTAAGGGTTAACGTTCATTTGAAAATATGAAAAATTCCTCAACTAAACATCATTTTTGAGAGATGACACCGAAGGCAAAAATATTCTTCATCAAATTTCACTTTAAGCTACCACAGAAACTAAAGAGTTATTTCCATTATAAATGCCGGTAATTTTTATGGCAGCACTGTCAAGCTTCGAATGAATCGGATACGTATTTCACATTTTATGAGAGTTTAAGTTATTACAAATTTTGACCCGTTGTGGGGGAGGTACCAGAAGGAGTGCTCACAACAGACATTTTTAGCAGAAATATTGGGATGTCTGAAATTTCAAGAGAATTAGATGCTTAATTCGCATTTTATGATCGATTAGCTTATTCATAATTTTGACCCTTTAAGGCGGAGGTATCAGAAAGAATGGGCCAATATCTAACATCTTTATAATAGATCTTTGGGTGAGGGAAATATTGAGATGTGCCACCACGTCTGAATGGACTTGGATGTTAATTTCGCGTTTTATGAGCTTCATGAATATTAAAAATTTTGGCCTTATGTGTGGGAGGTACCAGAAGGAGTGGACTGATATCTTCACAGCAGATCTTATGTTAATAAATATATTGTGATGTGTGAAATTTGGCGATAGTCGAACTCTTACTTCATATTTTAGAAGAGCTATAATTATTCAAATTTTTTACCCTTTTTGGGGATGGTACTTGATGGAGTGGACCGATATAATCAATTTTTGCACCTCACCTTGCAATGATAAAAATATTGGGATGTGCAAAGCTTAAACAAAATCGAATAATTTTTTCTTTCCATGAAGTAAATTATTTCCTTTGCTTTGTGGGGAAGGTACCAGAAGGAGTGGAACGATATTGCCTATCTCCGAACTCGATCTTATCTTGGATAATAATATTACGATGTACCATGTTTGGATCGAATCGGATACTCCCTTCGAGAGTTATCGTGCACACCAGCCAGACGGACCGACGGATATCGCTAGATCGCCGCCAAATGTCCTGAAACGGATTTGGTACAAATAGACATATGGTCTAAAACCGCTATTTCGATGAGGCAAGTTTTGGCCGTATCAAATTATGTATACCCTCTCTAGCCATATTGCTGAGGGTATACAAATCAGACAACATTTCGAAACCGCACATCGTTCTATGAACACCCAGCTCTAAGGTTAGAAATGATCCTTATATCTCACTGAATAAAGTATTATGACTCCATACATGTTGATGACTACAAGGATATGATTTTTATAATTCAACATTTCTTACCCTATAAGGTAGTTGATTACCCTTTAACACATGAATCCAAACCGCTAAGTTATAGCGAATTTTGTCAGATTGTACATCCAATATCCATATTTACACTCTCAGGACAAAGGCGCATCAATTTTTCGCTTGGCAATCATATTGAGAAATTGAATTCCAGTTGATATAATTAAATTCCCACATTATATTTCTCGACGTTCTTGATTTGATCTCCACATAGAAATGATGCCCAGTTTTGTTAATTGTTTTTTTCTTTAAGGAATTCCTTTTTTTCATTTTCTTAATTCAATTCGAATATTTTGTACTTAATTTTATTATTTTTTTATTTTAATTTGCCAAATTTTGATTATTGAAAGCAAAGACTACTTCATACATTAGTTCATTTCTATCAGCTAGTTATTACTGTACAGCATTTTTGGGACACACAAATAGTTCCGCTACGCAATTTATTAGGTTTATTGGATCCCTGCCTTGGCGGAGGTGTTCCAATTTATCTTTGTGGACCTAGCATTCTACAGACTTCAGGTGATCTTTGCGCAGTTTTCCTGGTCCGGTGGTCTCACTGTAGTGTTGATTACTGCACAGCACAGTTCGTCCCTATAGGGCTTCCTGGCAATTTTGGAATAAGATGGCAGCTCCTTTTCATGTTCTGTGGCCCTCTTTCTCTTCTGTCTTAACTAAGTCTCTTTTTTTCCGGTTTCTGCGGCTTCCTTTGTTATTCCCTGTCTTTAGTTCCTTATAGATACCATCTCCAAATATCTGACCTAGCTTGCCCGCACCACTGACTAGTGGTAAGCTTTTTTTCCTTTTTCAAGGAAGACTTCCCGGCATTCTGCTCCTCCGGTGATCTGAATGTCTTTCCTGCTTCCGAAAATGTTGCAGGAGGGCTCTGGATCTTTAGGAAATCTTCCTGCCTTGAAGCCTCAGTCCTTCTTCTGAATATCTTGAGTTTACACATTTGCGCCCCGGATGACCTTATGTTGTTTGCAATGAACGTGGCAATACGTTGGCCTCACCTCCACTATACTGTGGAGGGTATATTAACATTGTCATTCCGTTTGTAACTCCTCATAATACTCATGTTAGAACCAGGTATATATTCTTAATTAGCGTAAAATTCTAAGTCGATGTAGCGATATCCACCTGTCCGCCTATCCGTCTGTCTGTTATAATCACGCTGTATTTGGAACGAATTGAGATAGAAAGCTAAAATTTTGTATATATTCTTGTTCAGGGTAAAATTCTAAGTCGATGTAGCGATGTCCCCCTATCTGCCTATCCGTCAGTCTGTTATAATCACGCTGTATTTGGAACGAATTGAGATAGAAGGCTAAAATTTTGCAAACATGTAGACAGATCTTAAATGGACCATATCGGACCAGGTTTTCGTATAGCCCCCCCTATAACCGTACCTCCCGATATTCGGTGGTTTTATGATTTTAGCGACATTATTTACCGGAATGGTTTTAAAGTTCGTTTTTGAAGATTTCAATGGGTACTACAGCCTATGACAGAAAATTGCGTATGCAGATGCACGTCTTGGTATAGCCCCCATATAACGATACGTCTCAATATTCGGTATTTTGATAATATTAGCGACATTATTCACCGGAATTTTTTTGAAATTTCGTATTTGAAGTTCGTAATGTGTACTACAACCCCGAAAAAAAAAACTTGGGTATACAGGTCCACGTCTTGTATATCCCACATATAACGGTAGGTCCCGATATTCAGTATTTTTAAGATTATAGCGATATTATTTACCGAAATTGTCTTAAATTTCGTGTTTGATATTTGGAATCGGTACTACAGCCTATGAAAAAAAGTTACTTATGCAGGTGCACGTCTTCGTATGGCACCCATATAACGGTTTTCATTTGAGCGGTATTTTTCGACGGATTTTTTTTTAATTTTTCAAGTTCCTTCCAAATGTTGGAGGGTATTAAAAGTTCGGTCAGGCCGAACTTAGCTGTTTTTGAACTTGTTTTTTTGTCCTCAAAATTTTTGTTCCGCTGGAAATCAGAGATCCCCTCGGTGAAATTATAAAATCAGTCTTTTACCAAATTCTCTCTTGGAGAGGTATCTCGGTATTTACAAATAGACTGGGGTGATCATTTACCCTCCCAGGTGAGGATAATTTGAGGACGTGCCCTGTTGGAGATTGGCAACGAAGATGTTCTAATATCTTCTAACTGAGATCTGACAATTAAATTTACATTGCCTTCTAATGAGTTATTCCGCTAATGTGATACCCAAAATCTTTGCTGAGTAACTATTCCAAATCCTGGACCAAGTTATCGCCTAGGAAAAATATAATCTACCTGTCTACCTATTAATAAAATTGACCCCCTCCCCTCGCTATATTCCAAAGAAATTTTTCTGCGACAAATCGTAGGGCTTCATCCTGATGTTCTCCCTGTTGCTGTTGTTGTTAAAGCTTGCGAAAGAAACGCACGAGTTACGTATAATCATACTACCCCTGATAAAATTGATAAGTTCTTGGAAACAATTAGCCAATAAAACGTGTACAATTATTGCACTGTAAGCATAAGTGAATTTGACATTCTTTAGTTTGACTTTATTTTATTTTTCCAGTTAAAACTGTCTGGAGCTGAGTATACAATTATTTACAAAAGTGTGTTAATCAAATTTCATTTAAAATAAACTTATGCTAACACTGCAATAATTAATTAACAAATAATACCTGTAGAATAAGTAAATTAAAAATGTAAAAGTTAGTCTTAGTTCCATCCTCTTAGTCGCAAGTCGACGAATAAATAAATAAAAGAAAGAAAAAAAAGAAAACAATTTTTTTTTTAATAAACATAATTAATCAGGTTATCTAATTGGCGCAGTCGGTAGGATCCTTTAGGAATTAAAAAGGATCCAGTGAAACGTACCTAAATTATAAATAATTAAATAAATTCTGCGAATCCTACGGGACCCTCCAGGATTATAAAATAAACATTAGTGCAGTGAATAATTAAAAAAAAAAAAAAAATTAAACACCACTAAAATAAACAATAGTGCAGTGAATAATTCAAAAAATTGAACACCACTAAAATAAACAATAGTGCAGTGAATAATTCAAAAAATTGAACACCACTAAAATAAACAATAGTGCAGTGAACATTTAAGTTAAGTGGACACCACTAGATAAAGGAAGTCAATCCTTTTTTTTTCTTTTAAAAGTGTATTCGCAAAGGCAAAAAGTCTTCGACAAACGAAGAAGAATGGAGGAACAAGCTCACATCGCATCCGTAAATGCGGCAGAAGAACTAGCCAGAAAGGATCAACAATTGGAACGGTTACGCCAAGCATATCTAGAATTGCAACAGCAAACACAAGAACTACAACAACAACAGCGTAACCCGGTGTTATATGATACACAATCAAATAATGCAAAAAACAACATTTTAAAAACGATAAATCATCTACCCATTTTCACCGGCACCGGAGAAGTAACGGTGAACAGCTTTTTTAGTAGCACTGAATACTTGCTGTCAACTATACAAGATGAAAATATTAAGAAGGAGGCCATAAGAACAATATTCTATAAAATAATCCAGGGACAAGCTAAAGACGTCATAATAAACATACCCACACCGGACAACTGGCAACTAATCAAAGAGACTTTAAAACTAAGGTATAGACCGAACGTGGAACCACACAATATATATAGGATGATAGCCAACTTAAAAGTAAATTCGGTAAGTGAATTAATAATAGAGTTGCAGAATCTAAAATATAAGGCAGATGAGTTAATAGTTTATTACCGAAATGACCACTATATTGACTTATCAAACGTGGACAGTCTTTTAGTAAATACAGTTAAGGAAATGACACAAGGTACACTGTTAGACAAAATTTACGAAGAAAGAAACATTAATGATATATTAAAAATATTGACAAGAAGGAGATTTGAAGACACATGCATTAGGCCAGAATATAGGAAGTTTAGGACTAAAGACGACGTAACATTTAGACAAAATCGGTCGCAAAATAGGAATAATTTTAATCCGCAGATTAACAGTAATAACCAGGGATATAATCAACGGAATTGGTTAGGACAAAATAATTTTAGGTCGGATATTAGACAAGAACGAAATAATAATGATAATAATAAAACCTATAATAATAATAATAACGATAACTATAATAGGAATAGAAACTTTAATCATTCAGGACAGTATAGAGTCCAACAAAATAACAGTTATAATAATAACTATAATAATAGGAATCAAAATGGAAATTTTAATCATTCAGGACAGTATAGAGTCCAACAAAGTAACTATAATAATATGTCGGGAAATTTCAGAAGGTTTCAGCAACAGGTAGGAAACCCTAGGCCAAATTTCAGCCAAAATCGCTTGAATCAACCTAGGCAAGACCAGCAGGAACCTATGGAAATAGACAATATAGAAGTAGATAATTATCGAGTAGTAGGAAACTCTGAACCAAATTTACATCAGGATAACAGACAAGACCAAAGACAAAATAATTTTTTTCGGAAACAACCTCCGATTGTTTACCTACCATAACCATTACGATTAATAAAAGGAAATATAAAGCTTTGATTGATACAGGCGCAAACTTAAGCCTGATTGACAGTAAGGTAAAAGATTTTGAACGAGTTTTACTAAAACAACCTATAGAATTTAGCACCATAACTAGGAAGGACATAATTAAATTTGAAGTTATAACTGACGCACCTATGGAATTTAACTTACCAAATTATACAAAAATTAAGTGGAAAATGCAAGAGTTAAAAGGAAGAAAGTACAATTTTATTATAGGAGTTGATTTACTAAACCATTTTAACACGATGATAAATTTAATAGACGGACACATAACATTTAATAACAAGATTACAAAATTTTTAATTAATCCATATAAGGATTTGGAAATATGTTCATTGGAAAAACTGGAAGTTGACTTGGACAGAATTCAGTTGAATCATTTAAATGCAGAGGAGCATTTAGAAGTTACGAGAATTTTAAGAAGATTCGACAAAATATTTTTTAAAGAAGGGGACCAATTGACAAGTACAATGACAATAAAACATGAAATAAGAACGACAACAAATGAACAGATAAATTCCAAATTATACAGATATCCGCCACAACATGAAGAAGAAGTACGACGACAGATCAGGGAAATGGAGGAACAGGGCATAATTAGGAAAAGTTGTTCAAGATATTCAAGCCCATTAATAGTAGTACCCAAGAAAATAGATAATTCTGGAGAGCGTAAATATAGATTAGTGG